TGTTTGTATTCATGTGTATTCCAATGTTGAGAGCAGTCAGTGAGAAAATATTTTGCTGAAATGTTTACATCCTATACTGTGTTCATTAACTTGGATGTTGCTGGAATCAGTACAGCCAGAGACCCCTGGTCTTTCAACACCAGTGCTGTGAGGAAGGATGCTACAGTAGGCCAAGCAGAGACAAGGAGGAGTGTGGTAGAGGTAGGAAAAACCCAACAGATAGACAGTGACAACAAAGAACAACATCCTGTAGAGCAGTGGTTTTCAAACCGGTCCTGCGAGCACCCCCAGCACTGCACATTTTCTGTGCCTCCCTCATCTATCACACCTGATTCAACTCATCAGCTCATTAGTAGAGACTGCAAGACCTGAAATGCGTGTGTCAGATATGGGAGACATAAAAAATGTGAGGTGCTAGGGGTGCTTGCTGGACTGGTTTGAAAAACCACTGCTGTAGAGAATGACAGTAACAGTAGTGGCAACCTGTGAAGCTCTGGTGAACTCCATGCCCAAGAGGGTTAAGGCAGTGCTGGAAAATAATGGTGGCCACACAAAATATTGACACTTTGGGCCCAATTTGGACATTTTCACTTAGGGGTGTACTCACTTTTGTGGCCAGCGGTTTAGACATTAATGGCTGTGTGTTGAGTTATTTTGAGGGGACAGCAAATTTACACTGTTATACAAGCTGTACACTCACTACTTTACATTGTAGCAAAGTGTAATTTCTTCAGTGTTGTCACATGAAAAGATATAATAAAATATTTACAAAAATGTGAGGGGTGTACTCACTTCTGTGAGATACTGTACATACATACATACATGGCCTATACATATAATTCCAATTAATTGATTTTAATCTAATGTACAGAATTGTTACAGTTTGTATGTTACAATTTGTGTTATTTATGATTATTTTTTTAGGTTTTATTTATTTTTGAATGTATAATTGGTTACAATCTATTACTTGTCTCTGAAGCCCCTATAGAGGTTCATTGTGAAATTGCAAGGGTTTTGTGGTATTGTGATAAAAAGACTGACATTACCCTATGTTCTGTAAACGTATGCATTTTGTGTATATGTATTTGTATATGTGTATTCAAAAATGCTTAATAAAATGTGTTTAATATTAAAATCAATCAAGTATTGCTTTATATATATATATATATATATATATACAGCTGCATCTCAAAAAATTAGAATATCGTGAAAAAGTAAATTTTTTTGTAACATTTCAAAAAGTTAAACTTTCATATATTCTAGATCCATTACATGTAAAGTAAAACATTTCAAACGGTTTTTTGTTTTAATTTTGATGATTAGAGCTTACAGCTCATGAAAGTAAAAAATCCAGTATCTCAAAATATTGCAATATTTACATTTAAGTTTCATTAAATTACCACCCCTAGTATAAATTATCTTGTTCATTGAAACCACAATAATGGGGAAGACTGCTGACGTGGCAATGTTCCAGAAGACGATCATTGACACCGTCCACAAAGAGGGTAAATCACAGAAGGTCATTACTGAAAGGGGTGGCTGTTCACAGAGTGCTGTATCAAAGCATATTAAATGCAAAGTTGACTGGAAGAAAGAAATTGGGTAGGGAAAGGTGCACAAGCAACAGGGGAATACTGTTTTTGCTTCCGCAAACTTGAGAATACTGTCAAGCAAAGCCGATTCAAACACTTGGGAGAGCTTCACAAGGAGTGGACTGAAGCTGGAGTCAGTGCATCAAGAGTCACCACACTCAGACGTCTTCAGGAAAAGGGCTGCCAAGCCACTTCTAAAACAGAAACAAGGTCAGAAGCATCTTACCTGGGCTAAGGAGAAAAAGAACTGGACTGTTGCTCAGTGCTCCAAAGTCCTCTTTTCAGATAAAAGTCAATTTTGCATTTCATTTGGAAATCAAGGTCTAGAGTCTGGAGGAAGACTAGAGAGGCACAGAATTCAAGCTGCTTGAAGTCCAGTGTGAAGTTTCTGAAGTCAGTGATGATTTGGGGTGCCGTGACGTCTGCTGGTGATGGCCCATTGTGTTTTACCAAGTCCAAAGTCAATGCAGCCCTCAACCAGGAGATTTTGGAGCACTTTATGCTTCCATCTGCTGACAAGAGATGCTGATTTCCTTTTCCAGCAGGACTTTAGCACCTGCCCACAGTGCCAAAACCACTTCCAAGTGGTTTGCTGACCATGATATT